GCGCTCAATAACAGTAAGAACAAATGTACTTCTGTCAGATGGAGCAAGAGGCCCAACGAGATCTATATGAATATGTTCGAAACGGCCTTTTGGAATATTAAATTCTCCTATAGGCGTTCTAGTATGTTTATTTACTTTAGAAAGTTGACAATTAATGCAAGATTTTCTCCAATAATATAAATGAGTATTCATTCTTGGCCAGAAAAATCTTGTTTTGATTACATTTTGTGTAACGCGTACTACCGGATGTGAAATGTTGTGAAAATTAGAAAAGATTGTTTTACGAAATTTGACGGGAACATAAATGCGTGATAGGAAAGAAGCAATGTCGCACCAAAGGTTTAAATTGGAGGAACAAATTTGTTCTTTTGCTAAAATAAATTTTGCTTTGTTAAGAAGTTGTTTTTGTAAAAGATGTTTTCAGAATCGCTGTTTTGAGTTATTTTTTAAGATTCAAGATCTAAATATCTAAACGTGATAGAGTATCAGCTACTATGTTAGTTTCTCCTTTAATGTATCTAATATTTGATGTAAATTGTGAAATATAATTTAAATAAGGAGATTGGGAGATTTTTCTGTTTTAGATGAAAAAGAATGGATTATAGGTTTGTGACCAGTAAATATTGTGAAATTATTATAATATCTAGTTTGTGAAAGCGAAAGTTTTTTTTGAAAAATATGCAATTGGTTGTGATAAATTTTTTACAGATTGCTCTAAAACAGATGAGCAAGACTAGTTGCATTTATAAGAGCATTTATTTTTACATGGAGATGTTTGAAGAGGAAGCGTTAAAGAAGAGTCCTTGGACACCGAAGCTATGGCAACATGGAAAAGAGCAACTCCAGGAATTTCTAGACCACCTCAATTCACAGCACCCCATGATAAAATTTACCATGGAAACAGAAACTGCAAAACAGTTGCCATCCCTGGATGTGTTAGTCACTAGGACGACAGATGGGGGCATGGAACTGGGAGTATATTTGGGATATATATATGGAGATTCATCGACATGGGAATAACATGAATAGAGAGGATGGTTGGGAACTCAACGAAGCCTTCTCCACCCGGATTTGACAAAAACAACTTAGTTGACAATTAGACACTAAATTAGTTATTAATTACCTTTGCATGTATTTATTGTCAAATTTTAACCGAATTCCTCACTTCAAACTTGTTTCTGAAGAAGGTTGCAACATGGTATCCGAAGCGTCAAACATTTTTTCAAATTAACGCACGGCTTAACCCGAAAGTTTCTAGTTCTAGGTTTAGTGATAGTGCTAGTATTAGTTTTAGTTTAATTAACACCGGCTGTGAAAGCCTTCGTTCTTATATTCTTTTTCTTGCCTAAGCGTAGTCGCTTGTCGAGGGTCACCAAAATATGTGGGGTGTATTCTCACATATTAAAAAAAATAAATGAAAATGATTTTTTATAAAAAAAATAAAAATTGACTTTTTTAAAGATTGAAGAATTAATTAATTAACAAAATTTTACAGTTACATAAAAAAGAAAAATAAAAGATTTATTGATTTTTTTTTTAAATAGAAATTGAAATCAATATGGCAGGGAATATGTGCAACGCCACAGTCATCAAGGAGTGTATTAGGTCTATTTATATGGGGCAGCACATATGTGAGCAGTATTCTTAGTTTTGGGTCTGTAGAATCCCAGGTTTGTAGGATTTCTAATCCGTAAATTGAGTTTTTGTAATTCGCTGCGGCAATGGAAGCTATAACAATACTCAAACGGGTGCTGTAATGAGACTCCTTACAGCATCCGATGCTGTAATGAGATTTTAGTAACATTTTATGGAACCAGTTCAAGTTGGTGATATTGGGTCATTAATTTTTCTAGTTGTCAATGTGACAATTTTTGTCTATGGATGTTTAAACACGTTCTTAGCATCGAATGCAAGGTCCACAATGATGATTCTGATTGACTCTGAGCAATTTCTCTTATTTTGGGAGGTGTACATCAAACATTTTTTTCAGATGAATATATTTTGTGTTTTGACAGTTTCTAATTGTCAATTCAAAGTTTCTATTTTCAAGTGTTCCGGTGTTACCAACTGCTACATACCTATTTCCCTACATTGCCAAAATTTACTTTATTTTTGTTTAAAAAAAGTATAAAAACGCGAATTACAAACAGTAGCATAAAAAACACGTTTCATAAGACTTAAAGCACTCATTCATTAAAAAACTCGTGGCTTCGCCAGTCGTTTTTCAACTTGAATTCGTGCATTTCAAGCGTGTCTTACGAAACTTGTTTTTTAATATACTATTACCGCACCGTTCGTATGAGACGAGATATAAGGTATTCGGATTGGTTGCCTTGCAACACATTGGGTTTTTGTACAAACTTGGTAATGGGTATGTCGATGCGCCGAAGATCTCATCTCATAAGATTTCAATATTCCGCAGTACCAATCTCGTGACTGCTTGGTGTTTAGGATACCTCCATTAGCATCAAATATTGTAACAGCGTTGATATTTTTTATTCTACTCCATTTATGTTTAAAAAATGTATTAATTGGCGTTTTGGGTTGGGTTGCGTTAAGGTATTGCAATGATTTATTTCTATTTTTGTTTTATAAACTATATAACATTTTATGCAGGGCGAGTCAGAAAGAATGGGAAATCCGAATACCGGAGAGAGTAGACACCAAAATATGATGATTTAACGTAACATCTCTTATACAAATGTCAGTGGTTTTCGAGGCACATAGTGTTGAAAGTTAAATTCTTATTTCGAAATTTCTTGATAATTTTGAAGGTTTTTGTACTATTAATATATAAATTTGGTAGTTTTATGTTTTCGAGCATGACAAAAACGAATTTGAAACTTGTATTGTTATTGCTCGTAGAGGGCGCTAGATACACGCTGCTCGTTTGATAAATCAAATCATAAGTTTTTTGGCTCGACAGCTACGACCAATAAGAGCTGCAAATCACAAAGAGCATTCAATTTTACATAAAAAAGGTACTCTTATTGAAATTGTCTAAGTCTATCGGTTTTCAAATTATTTACTTTTAAATGTTTAAATGTATTTTTTCTTCTAAAATATTTATTTTTTAACATAAGCAAAGTTGGGTTATTTTTCCGCTTATGTTTCGACAATTGCCTGTTAATTGTCAACATTGATCTAATTTCCGTGTGCAATAATCATTTTTACCAACAATAAAGTTATTACCAATTTGAAAATGCCACGACATAATGAGTTTCTTAATAGTGAGAAATCCAGATTTAAGTCCACATTTTTGAAAATAGTCACAATATTCTATTGTTATTAATTAATTGTTATTGTTATCGATTATTGTCATTACTAATTGCTATAGTTACTGTGTGTTATTTATTTTAAATGTCAATCTTAAAATTACTTTGAAACAATTAAAAGCAGATAACTTGGAAACCTGTAGACTTAGACAATGTAAGCAAGAGTACCTTTTTTGTGCAGAATTGAAAACTCCTTCAGATTTGGTTCTAATTCACCAAACCTCAACTGACAAAATAGTCATGACTTGATATCTCAAACGTACAGTGTGTATCTAGCGCCCTCTACGAGTAATCACAAAACAAATATCAAATTCGTACTTCTCATGCTCGAAAACATCTAGCTACCAAATTTTATGTTAATAGTACGAAAACCTTCAAAATTATCAAGAAATTTCGAAATAAAAATTTATCTTTCAACACCCTGTGTATTAAAAACCGCCGACATTTGTATAAGACATGTTAAATTAAATCGTCATATTTTGGTGTCTAGTCTCTCCGGTATTCGGATTTCGCATTCTTTCTGACTCACCCTGTATAACTACGTATAACATTATGTTTTCGTGGTCACCACTATTGGATTCTTCCTGTTAGCGCCCCGAACAAAAAGAAAATATAAATACGAGAAAGTTAAGTGTAAGATTTAGAACTTTTGGATAATATACAGATGTTTCTGTAAGTCGTGGCATAATTTTAATCACAAATACTAGACTAAAAATGATGACGATTCGTATAAAAATTTTTAGTCTAAACCTATAAATTGCTAAGATATGGGTCTTTAAAGTTAAGAAATTTTTAAACATTTTATTAAATATTTTCAATATGGTTTGTCTTGGAAAGATTAAATTTGGGAATCAGTGCAATGTTATCACAAGAAATCGTTTAATTACTTTTGAAAAATTGAACCACGTGATCAATGGTATACAGATGTTCACAAAGGTTATTTCCTTCGATCGATCAATACTCCAACGTTTCTTTTTAATTTTATCTTTTGTTCTTGTTTTCTGTTGCAAGTAAAAATAATTTTAAAACGAAACAGGCTTTTAGATTCAGTTGGAAAATTTAAGGATTTACGACATAATAAAAAAGTGTTAAAGAAATAACCTTTGTGAACATTCTGTATTGCATTGATCGCGTGGTTGCATATTTTCTAGTGATCTTTCTAATTAATCTTTCTAAGAGAAACCATATTGAAAATAAGAAAATGTTTAAAAATTTCTTAATTTTGATGACCCATATCTTAGCCATTGAGTTTAGACCAAAAATTTTTACACGAATCATCATTTCAACTCAAGTATTTGTAATTAAAATTATGCCACGACTTATAGAAACAACCTGTATACAATAAAATATTCTACGCTACTATGATTTATTTTTATATAGACAATATTGGTAGTGTTTCCGTATAAAACTGCCCATTTGCAATTGCATCATTTTTGAAATAATATAAAATATCCAAAAATATTTTTAGAAATATTGGGTGTTTAATCAACAAAAAGTTGCAGGAGAAAAATTGCATTGTTTTGTCTACGAAATGATTGATACTCCTATTTTCTTCTAAAGATAAGTCATGCCCCAAAATGAGTACGTTGTTTGATACAGATAAAAAGAGATAATTACATCCATTTCAAATCTAGAACATTTAACACACCATTTAAATTATTCAGTTATTCTAATATGCATTATCTCTTTATTTAAATTATATGATGCAATATTGATTTAAAATACTTAGTAAATAAGGCTCGAATAAGGTTAAAAAATGTATAAATAAAAATTTGAACACGTGATCCTTTAAATAAGTACTCCAAAACGACTTCATTTTTGACAAACAGCCCAATACGGTGATAAGATTATAACTGATACTCCATTTTAATCCGTAATAAGACGGTCTATTAAATTTTTTGATCAAATGAAAATACAATGCCAAACAGAAAAGATATTCCAAATAAAATTTCGTTTGTTTACGGTGTTTTTTTTATACTTTTTCTAATTGGACTTTTAGTTGGAGTTTATTTTATCGAAACGGATCTTCCAAAAGCTTTAACATTACAAGATGAGGTAAGAAAGTAATAAATAAAAAATTATAGATTCTTACAAAAATATTATTTAAATTACAGATTGATAATCCTAATACATTTATAACACAAAACGCAAAAAATTACTTGAAAGGACTTGTTGATATGGGACCTAGAGTGGTTGGGAGTTACGAAAATGAAATTGAAGCGGTAAAATATCTGAAAAATATTATAAATAATATAGTGAAGGATAGAAATCCTCAGCAAAACATTGAAGTGGATCTACAGCTAACTCAGGGTTCATATTATTTGGGATATAAACCTTACGGTTCAATAAACGCTTATGCAAATTTACAAAATGTTGTTGTTAAACTACATGGAAATGGAGAATCAAATAAAAGTGTATTAATTAATGCACATTTTGATACAATGACAACGAGTCCAGGTGAAATATTTAATTTTCTTTGTTAAATCTGTCTGTTGTTAGATATACATACTTTTAATGTTTGTTCTACAAGTACAGATGTTTTAATATTTGTACAAAATGTTGCAACTGTAATTAACGTAGGTTAATCACAGTTGTTGTCTTGTTGACATAGCCAAACATTCTCAGGATTTTTTCATCTGGTCGTCCCTGAGATTATCCTCAGGGTATTCATTTCTGCAACACTTAGCACATCTTTAGCTTTGTTTATGTCTTCGTGTATTTCCATATCGTACGTCATTATTGGGCGGATACAGGTCTTGTGTAACTCTATAATTCAAACGCAACAGTTTGCTCGACCAAACAGTTTCTCGAAGGCAGCCTAAAATTGCGGACACTTTGTTCGTCTGACTTCTCCAGTGCTTTGCAGTATCATGAGTGCTTGAGATGAGCGCCTCCAAGTAGGAAAATTCCACGATTTTTTCGATGGAGGTGTTGTTGACTACCGACTTACATCTTGTTGACTCCCTTACGACCATTTAGTTTTTGAAGTAGAGATAGCCATGTTCAGGGCTTTGCTGGCTTGGTTGACCCTCTTTAGCTGTTTTTGCAGGTCTTTCGCTGAGCTGAAGACTATCGTGGCGTTGTCAGCGTAGCATATTATGCAGATTTTCTTTTGGCCCATTTTACATTCTAGATATAAAGTTATTTCTTCCTTTATACTTCTGTCTATTAATAAGTTGAACAAAATGGGTTGAGATTATCGGATATTACACGGTGTGGGAATGTCTTCAATTAGTTTTTCTCTGCCACTTACATTAACCGTGTTGTTGGTGCTTAATTTATGTATTATGTTTCTTCTCCAGTTCTGCCAAGTTCCTAACCTTTTCACAAAATCATGGTGTGGTATTTTTGGTTGCGTTGATGTTAATTTTCTTCTACCGATGGTTACCTCTGCTGCCTCGTGAATACATTCTTGAAATTTAATTTGCATTCAGTTTTCATATATATACTTTCTGCTTTCGAATATCAGTGACACAAGGTTATATTTTTTAATGGATTTGGGTGGCTTTTTGAATGATCGGGGTCATTCTGATAAGTTCTTGCGTAGGACAAAGTTATTCGTTCCTATATTAGCGGATGTGAATGTTCTTACGTCTAGTATTTGCGAAGTATTTCTCTACTGTTGTTAAAGGTATACTCTCTATACTTTTAAATGTATACTCTCTACACCTTTAAAGGTATACTCTCTTAATTTGTTTCTTTAACAGAAGTCCATTAATAGCTTTCCGTTCTCATTGAGCATTGTTTCGTTGTATTTTTTAATGTATATAAACCATACAAATATATTAAAGACAAAAAAATATATTTCCTTATTAATTATTAATTAAATACAAAGTACAAAAGACGAAAAATAGAAACATTTACACCAATCAAATCATATTGAGCTAAGCAATGATTAACATTAGAATCGTAGAGACATTTGATTTTTTTTTTATACAAAATGATTTAAATTTATCTTCACCAGTAACTTTGTCACAATCGCTAGCTTCATCAATCACGATCAATCCTCATGCTGCAGATCTTGACGACGTACATTTTTAATTAACATTTCATTTAAATTTCCTTTGAGACCTGGGATAAAACATTCATTAAACATTGCGACAGTCAGTGGGGTGTCGGGGCCCCACGCTTTCTTATTAACTCTCCAATAAACAGGAATATTATCATAATGGTTGACTCTACAGCTCCTTGGCCACCTTTAACATGTTCAGTGATTTCACAATGTGAGATCCTGAAGCGTTGCTACGGAAAAGAATCGTTATGCGACCTTTTGTTGATATCTGATTGATAGTAATTTTATAAATTTTTGACACAAACTTTTTTGCAAAATAATCCTAACTCATCAGTATTGAAAACTTGATCCGGCGTGCATTTAAATATTTGCCAACAATATCAGCAAATTTTGTTAGATATTTTTATAATGCATCTACAAATGCCAGTTTTTGATTTGATGATTTTTTCAAACAGACCATAACTTGTGAAAATTTGCTTCTTGTCAGTTAAAAATGAGGTAACTGTTGTTTAATTTTTTCATTAATGCTTTCTTCATCTATTCAATTGAAATATTTCTAATATATGAAGTTGTGCTCATAAAGTATCATCTGTTACACTCTTTTTAATTGAGTTTTTATTTTCTCTTATAAATGTTATTGTACCTTTTTAAGAAAAGTTTTTTTATTGTATCATACATTGTTTTTAATTTTTTAGGTGGTAGTGATGATGGTATAAATTGTGCAATAATGTTAGAAATTTTAAGAATACTTTCATTGCGATCATCTCCTCCTCTACACAATATAATCTTTCTTTTTAACGGTGGTGAAGAGTCTAACATTCAAGCATCGCACGGATTTATCACCCAGCATGAATGGGCGGAAGAAATAGCTGTTGTAATTAATTTAGAAGCGACCGGTGCTGGCGGAAAAGAAATTTTATTTCAAGCCGGACCGGAAAAGTCTTGGCTAATGAAGTATTATAGTAAAGTACCTTATCCGTTTAGTCATGTGGCTGGAGAAGAAATATTTAAAAGTAATATTATTCCTTCTGATTCGGATTTTAGAATTTTTAGAGATTTTGGTGGATTGATTGGTAATTGTATTTCTTTAATAAAAATCAAAATGAATAATATTATTAATTTTAAAAGGCTATGATTTTGCTTATATTAAAAATGGATACAGATATCATACCAAGTACGATGATTTTACCAACATTAATGATGGAGTTTACCAAAGAAGTGGTGATAATATTTTATCACTCGTTACAAGTTTATCGGAAGCGGAAGAAATATCATTACAAGAAAAAACCGATGGCCAAAACGATCAAGGAGCTGTGTTTTTTGATGTTTTCGGTTTATTTGTGATATATTACAAAAAAACCGTTGAACTTATTTTAAACATCTCAGTAATAATATTATCATTTCTCACGTTACTTTGGTGTTTAATTGAATTTAAAACAATGAGATATACTTTTAAATGTTACATATTGACATTTTTAAAATTTATCGAAATTTTGATTGAATGGTTGTTGTCGGCGGCTTTTATACTTTTAATTGGTTTGATTTTGGGTGCAATTGGAAACACTATGAGTTGGTATAAAGTCCCTTATTTGGCCATTGGATTATATTCCATGTTAACATTAATTATTTCTTGTTCGGTTCTATTAATTACAAATAAATATTTAAGAAAGGTAAGTGTACCTTTTATTAAAATAAATTACTTATTCTTTGTATTGTTTAAAGAAGCATTCAACAAATTATCATTTTTTATTTAAACGCCCGCTTACTATTTCTTTTGTATACTGTATTCTAAAGAAATTTCTGAAATAGTAATTGATCAAAAAAAGAAGATTAAAATATTAAATTAATATAATTATATTGAAATTATACATGTTAGTACATTATAGAGGAGTTTTTAAATACGAGTCCAAACTCAATCTATGATTCGCCGCTTTTATAGAAAAGTTATGACGAGATAAGCTGTTAAAGCTAATAGATTACTTACTCCCTAGCCCGAACTTAATAGAATTCTAATATACAGTGTGTTTCAGAATTGCATGGCACTATTTTAGGGATGTATTCCTCAGCATAAAATAAACAAAAAAGTTCACATAAACATGTCTCAAATTAATTTATTATCGAGATATTGAAAATAAAAATTTTTATTTGTCAATGAAGCGGTTAGAGTAAATGTTCAAAATGGTTCCCTTTTCTTGAATGCAACATTGAGCACGATGAATCCACGTTTCTCTGATAAGTCTTATAGCATCAGGACGGCCATTGATAATTGTTTCGGCTTCCACGATGCGATTTCTGAGCTCTTCTTGGGTACGGATAGACATAGAGTAAACCATAGATTTCATCTAGCCCCATACAAAATAATCTAACGGTGTTAGATCAGGAGACCATGGTGGCCATTTCACAGGTCCGTTTCGACCAATCCATCGGTTACCATATGCTGTGTTTAAATAATCAGTGGCAAGATGAGAAAAGTGAGAAGGAGCACCGTCATGCATAAATTACATTCGCTGCCTGTCGGCTATAGGAATGTCTTCTAGGAGCTCATACAAGTTATTTTGTAAAAAATTCAAGGAGATATTCTAAAGAAAGGGTCGATGAGATTGTCACCAAGAAGACCACACACATTTAAGGAAAAAGTATGTTGGTAATGAGTTGAAGCAGCCGTATGAGGGTTCTCTTCGTGCCAAGTATGGGTATTTCGAAAATTAATAATCCCGTTTCTGGTAAAACAACATTCGTCAGTAACTAGGAGGCAGTCAGGAAGTTAGGATTTCGTGTACATTGTCAAATTAACCACTGGCAGAAATTTATGCGCTTGTTATAGACTTCTGGTAATAAATCTTGCACATGTGTAACGTGATATGGATACAACTGTTGCTCACACAATGTTCGCCATACGCTTGTACTCGGAACATCGAAACGAAGTGACAATCTTCTGGTGCCAGTACAAGAAGATAACTGAACAGGATCGAGTATCAATTCTTAACCGTTAGCAGTTCGTCGAAACATTTGTCGACCAGCGTTTATTCGTGTAGCTTTTAGCGTGCCAGTTTCCCTAAGACGTCTTTCAATGGCTTCAAACGTTTTCCGATTTGGTATCCTTCCAGTGGGAAATTTTTACGATACCTTCGAACAGCAGCAGCTCCATTTTATGTACCTCGCCATACATCAACAACATGTCTGTTTGTTCCGCAAAAGTGAACAAGTTTGTGGTGTCTCCCATGATAAATACTAGAAAATTAAATTCTTCGTACAGCACTAGAAAAACCACTACACCAACAGTGTTAAGCACTAATTAACACATTAACACACGCAAAAAAACAATATGCGATTGTTATCCATAGCTACTTGATTAACGCAATACTTTCAGATGTTTTACTTCAACTTCAAATATCTCGGTAATAAATTAATTTGGGACATATATTTATATGAACTTTTTATATATATAATATATTCTTAAAATAGTGTCGTGCAATTCTGAAACACCCGGTACAGTTATTACTTAATTATTCGACCATTTTGAAATGAATCCTTAAGAAAATGTGAACAAAATGTGGTTTAAACGTTATTAATGATCGACTGGGAATACAAGTAAAACTACGAAGATCTGAAGACATATATGCTACTGGGGATATACTACAAAAATAGAAAATTGCAATGTACAGGAGAAAAGTATCTTGGATTTTCACAAAAATATAGCTTACCTTGCAATGAAATCTCTTAACTTTAACATAGGAGTGAATAAATTTGGTTCGACAACTAACATTCAATACAGTTCACAACCTCTTGTTTCTGAAGAAGGTTACAAGATGGCATCCAAAACATCGAACAATTTTTTAATGGATGCACAGCATGACCTGGAAGCTCCAGCACAGAGTAGAGATTTAAGCCTCAATGAGTAATACCTTATATTTTATATATTTTTTATTATATTTGGACCATGTCGTAACAGACATGTCCCAAATAGAAGATGTTAAACTTCACCCAGAACAATTATCGGCAATTCGATAATACCCATGCCAAAAATTAAAAAGGAAATTAAATTATTCTTATGCTTTCATCACTAAATCTTGTCCAAATGTCTTAAAAAATAATACATTTTTACAACATAAAACCTTTTATTCTGAAGATACCTTCAGAATATATAAGGAATTGCTTACAAACACACGGAAACATCAGTTTCCAAAGTGCAGTTTTATTACAAGATTAACCCGGAATCGAAAAATAAAAATACTCAGATATCGAAAAAGAAGTTCTCGTAATTGTATACGCAATGAAGTAATTCAGAACATATCGTTATGGTGAAATCACTCATGATTGTCACTGAATACAAGCCTCTGATATGGCTACAGTCACAAAGCCAGCCAATACGATAAAAAATTAAATTTCAAGAATTAAAAATGGGAATGAAAAAACATTTGATAATAAAAGTGTAGTAAAAAGGAAGTTTCTAATATTCAACCGGTACAGTGGACAAGGTAATAAATTACTTTTGGTAGGGGACTAACTGTAAGAAACGTAGCAACCTTGTTAGAAAAACGACATGTACACCAAAATATTATGGCACTTACTAGTACCATAATATTGCCATGAGTACTGCAAATCAATCATTTGTAAGAACATAGGAAGGACTCACGAAAAGTATACAAATTGCAACTAGAGTGAAGCAGGGAGATAGCCTCAGCCTCGCTCTATTCGATTTATTAACGAAATAATTTATTGAAGAAAGTGGAAGGAGGTACAAGTTGGACGAGAAGAATATAAGAATCATATGTTACGGAGACGATACGTCTTAATCTCTGAAGACGAAGATGGGCTCCAAAGAATATTATTTAAACTCAAGATAATGACAGAGAAACATAACATGACGAACCGACAAGATGTAAACAAACGGTTTACAATTGTACCATAGATTAGGTCAGACGGTTGAAATATCCGGTATACATTACTAGCAACACAGACCTGAAGGAAGAAGTCAGAACATAAAACACAAAAGCAGTGGTGTTATCGGGATGCCTCCGGGATCTAATATACAGGAACAAATACTTACAAACAAAAAGTAAGGTGAGGATCTATAAGACGATTGGAAGACTGGTGAAAACGTACGTCATTGAAACGATGGCGGAAACGCCACAACCAAAACACTTCTCATAATCACAGAGATGAAAACTCTTCGAGTAATTATTGGCAATCAGAGGAAAATGTGGAGTGCAGGAGATAGAGAGATAGGGAGACAGATAGAGAGAATGGAGAGACCATGTCGAGACAATGCCAGAACACACCATGCCGAAAATCGCCAGAGAGAAAAAACGACGAGGAACCAGAACTACTGAACATCTGCATCCCAGTCGAAACTCTGAACTATTAAAGAAGGACAGGGGCGAGATAAAGGGAAGGCGCAGAAGAATAGGAATATAAATTCAAGTTTCCATTTTGGATATTAAACAAATCAACTTATATTGACGCTAGGATTGACCACTTCTCTAACTGGGTGCATTTTAATTAGGAAGAAAAGAGTACGATTTATACGATAAAATACCAAATGATATCCTTAAGACAGCTCTTTGGCTATCATTAAAATACGTATAAAATACATAACCAGTGATGTTATACATACATCTATATAGTTGAGTTAAGGATATAAGTACGAAGGCTTTCACGGCCGGTGTGAATTAAACTAAAATTAGAACTAACACCAAAAATTTTCGGGATTTGCCGTGCGTCTTTTAAGAAAAGGTTTGACGTTTCGGATGCCATGTTGCAACCTTCTTCAGAAACTGGTTGTGGAAACTGGAAGTGACTTCGAACCAGTTTCTTTTTTAGCTTTTTTAGTTTCTCTTTTAGTTCTAATTTTAGTTTAAAACACTGTTAAGGATTGTGTACGGGTTAGTTCCAGTTAATGAATTGTAATGGACCCAGAATTATACCCAGAACTTCGTTATTTTTAAGCCCAACCCAACAGTATACATAGTTATCTAAGAAATGCGTCTTATAAAATCTCCATCTTCTTGAATATTCTATTTAGAACTATGTCGCAAAAATTAAATCGAAATATCATCATAGAGCGACTTAGCATTAGAAAAATTATATGTACGATGTACTACGAAGTGAACGATTTTATTACTGAGAATGCTTAACGTTGATCTTTCCTCTCTTTCCAGTTAGTACCCTGAGGTACCTTCTTGTAGCGCGTTTAGAGTTTGTACTTCAAGTTCTATTGCTCTATTTTCGCTTCGTCCATCATCAGTATCTAGCTCATCGAAATCTGAGAATATATTTCCATATTCTTGTTCTGAACTGTTACCATTTTCATATAGAAATCTCACAACAAATCAAGTACCATATTTATTATACCAGAAAATTTGACTGGAGCACCATACTTAAAATAATTAAAGGAAGATATTGAACCGCTGATGTTTTGTAGAATACAAAAAAACCATGATGTGTTTCAAATCCATCTTATGTTGACCAAAATTAGACCATTCCAGGACGAAGTCATCGCTTTAATGACATGTAGCAAATTCCATTTAATATTTCCGTTGCTTTTACTTTGCCTTATAATACGATTTAAAATTAAAAAAAATATTGCTACACTTTAATATTAAATAAGTTTAGGGTGTCATTTTTAGGTTGTCTAAATGGTTCAGAATCTTTTGAAACAAATGAATTTTTAATTGTTCTGACATCTGACAAACATAGATTTACAGAAGTGTCGTCCAACTTACTTCATAGACTGATTTAAAAACTTTTCTCAGTGAAGAAATTTTTTCATATATCAAATGTATAAGATAATTTGTTAATCACGTTTGTATTAACATTGAGTTGAAATTTAAGTCGATTATAGTACAACAATTCTTTGCTAATAAACTTTTAAATCAGTTTATCAACGTTTTTGGTTTACATACTAATTATGAAAGAGCTGATAACAAGCAGTTCAAATTTTCATTACGATTGTTTTAGTAATAATTTTTATTTACACAAATCTATAAACCATCCTAAAAACTTTCAACTTTCATTTAATGCATAAATCGTGTTATAATTTTCATTAACAAACATTGTTAGAAACAAAATCAACAAATTATTTTCTATTAAAAGTATAAACATTCTTAGACCTACTTTTTTTTTAACTTTGCCCATTTAGGATTCAACGCCAATTCAAGATGATGTTATTCTTCACTCACACTTAACGAGAACAATTTGGACCATTGTTGTGCTAATTGGTGTGTGTTTTGGTGTCAGAGCTGTTTATTTACTCATTATCCCAATTATCTTCAATATGATTACACTATGGATTATACATGGACTTAAATTACATCGAAAAAGTAATTTTTAAATCAGTATGATTAAATATTACAAATTTTAAGATGATTTAATATAACATTTTATTTTTTAGGTAGTTGGTGGGTTTCAATTTATATAATAGGAAACATATTTCCTACAATGTTCTTATACGGAATAAGTTTTCACATTTTGGCTTTATTCATTCCAATTTGTGGAAGATTTGGTACAGAAATGAATCCAGAATTGCTTATTGGATTATTTACAATGATGTTAACAATACTTTGTTTATGTTATTACGTAACTGCTTTAAAATGTTTTATTTAAAAGAATGATATTAACAACTTTTTTAGATTCCTTTAATATTGTTAACCAAAGGTTCCATAAATATTGTTCTTTGTCTTCTTTGTTGCTTTATAGCTTCTTTTATACTTGCTTTAACACCTGTTGGCTTTCCATACAGTGGTGATTTAGACGAATTAGCACCACAAAGATTTTCTATTTACGTGAGTTTTTAATCGAAGTTTTATTATAAATTAAAAGGAGATTTTTGTTGTTATATTTAGCATACTCAAAGAATTATCCACAACGAAAACGATGAAATAATAAAATCGGACGCTGGTTTTCATTTTATCCCAATGGATTATAATTCACCAGAAACCATAAAAAAATACGTCAAAGAAATGGAAGATATCGTATCTTTAGAAAATGATTGCAAAAAGTTTTTATTTTGTGGATTACCCGTAACATACTCAAGAGATTTCGAAGAATTGTAAATTAACATTTATTGTTGATTCAAAAAATTAGTTTTAATATTTTAGAGATAAAAGTATTTGGATTCCAACAAAACCACCAATATATCCAAGCGATTTACCGAAGATGGTACATTCAAAAAGGAATTTAAATTCAACCGTTGTCAGATACGAGTTTATAATCTCAGGTTAAAACAATAATATAACTTAACTGATTTTTATCTTGAATATTTTTTTTAATAGGGCCGGACTGTATGGACGTATATTTATCACCAAAATTAGGAATACAATTCTTAGAAACAAACCTAAACGACTTTATCCCAAATGAACAACCGTTATGGAACGGAAGACCCACTTTATACATTCTTTACGTTTACGGTAAAGAACCGGCCTTGTTACAGTTTTACGTCGATTTTTTGGTTCCAAATGAATGGAACGAAAAAGTTTTAGATGTTGCGGTAACCGGCAAATATTTACATGATAAAATAAACCCACAAACGGATCATTATAAACGATTTTTGGATCAATTCCCAGATTTTGCCGCAATCAATACCCAAGCATTAGGTTATTATGAATCTTGGATTATTTAATTAGTTATCCATTATAGTAATTTTGTAGAAATAATTTTGTAGAAAATGGTATTTTTTATATGTATACATAAATAATTTCTTAACGTTTAATATTTTATTTCATACACAGAGAGAAATATATTCTTGAACGAAGATTATTACTCTTGATTCAAGCTTATCATATTCTTATTATATCCACAAGAAGATCATTTTGTTGAGTGAAGAAAAACCACATATTCTCAAAGCAAGTATACAAATATTCTTGATTCTCAAGAAAACGAATTCTTAGTAAAAGTAAATCAATAATCTTGAAAAAGAGTATCTTAGTGTTACATCAACAACCCCATTTTCGTATCGAGAATAGATTTCTTAAGTCAAGAATAATGTATCTTTCTTTTTAGAAAAAGTTATTCATGTAACAACAATCTTGTATAATTCTTCATTTGAGTATTATAAATTATTGACGCAAGAATGAATTTTTGGATACAAAAAATTGATATTCTTCGATGCTAAGAATATGACATACTTCATTCGATAATATTTCTATTCTTAAAACAAAAAAATATTTTTGTTTTAAGAATATCTTATACTTGTTTCTAAGAAATACATTCAAGAATCAATTTTTCTTGAGAGTCAAGAATAATTTCCCTCAGTGTACTATCCGGTATATTGATGTTTACATCATCAATTTGAGTAAGTAAGGTAAGAAAGTAACATGGATTGTTTCAATATAAATTTAAAATATTATAATATAAAATAATATAAAATATAGTTTATATTAGAACATAGATATTTCTGTGAAAAATCCACCCACGTTCAGAAATTTTTCTTTCATGATATAAGGTGTCTCTGAATGTGCTGTTTCCACAGTTATGAATGCCTTTGGTTTAGCGTCAGCTAGATTTCCTATACTATTATTATTATTATTGCTGCCGGGCTGAGGAGAGCGGTCCCTCTCGTTACCGTGACCTATAAGATATATTGTAACTTTAGCCCTCCAAAGGTTTAGGGCAAATGTAGGTCCGTGATGAACCTTAGTATTGTCCTGAGGTCTTGAACCTTTATGTCGGTAGGTGACAAGGGAGTGTTACCGAAAATGAGTGTCTTAGACGACCTCTGGCGACATAATTGCACAGTATATGTTCAGCAGTTTCTGACTCGTCGTTGCATAGTCGACAAGTTTGATCCTCAGCTTGTCCAATGTGGAAGAGGTGGAATTTTAGGGGCGCATGGCCGGTCAGGTAGCCTGAGAGCGTTCTTAGATCCCCTTTGCTGAGGCATAAAACCTCTTTGGTTTTGTTTTGCGACGGAGTATCATACTCTTCGCTTGTCTGTGACCTGGAAGTTCTTTCCAGCGTAAGGCTATCTTGGAAACCTCCTAGTTGTTGATTATTTGTTTTAGGTGGCTTTTTTGTAGTCCACAACCAGGTTGGGGTCCAATGAAGGACGTGTTCGCTGCCTCTTTGGCCAGCTTGTCCGCCTTCTCATTACCCTCGATGTTGCTGTGACCTGGAACCCACCATAGGGTAACATCATTGCCCCTAGCGAGTTCTCTCAGGTTGCTGGAACACTCTCTGATCAGTGCGGAGTCACACGTGTAGGCCTGAATTGCCTTTAAGGCGGCCCGACTGTCTGGAAAAATGTTTATGGACTAACCTTTTTGTCCCTTCTGTAGGTTCAAAGCGGTGTAAAAGTTTATAGCAAGAATTTCTACTTGGAAAATTGTTATGTCCGAGCTGAGGGGCAATTTGATGTGGCTATTTGGTCCACTGATGCCCATTCCTACTCCGGATCTAACTGTCTTTGAAGCATCGGTGTACCAGGGTAGGGCTCCTCTTTTTAGTTGAGGCCCTCCCTTCGCCCAATCATCCCTGCTTCTAAATATGACCTTATACAGCTGGTTGAAATTGTATTCTGTCGGTATGAGGTCCGTTTCAACTTCAATCAGGTGAAAGGAAGAAACTGTTTTCAGTGATAAGGCACTTAAGGCTGCCTCCTTTTGTATATATAAATGGAGCGGTGTGAGACCGAGTAGGGCTTCCAAAGCAGCCGTCGGAGAGGATCTCATTGCACCCGTTATATTAACACATGCTAACCGTTGGATTTATGCCAGCTGTTGTTGTGCTGTCTTATGTTTTGTTTTTGGCCACTAAACCAATGAGGCGTAGGCGACCATGGGTCTCATTATTGCTACATAGGCCCAATGAGACATTCGTGGTTTGAGACCCCAGTTCCTTTCTAGGAGCCTGCGGCAGATCTGGTTTGCCATGATGGCCTTTTTCCTAACCTTATCTAAGTGTGAGTTCCAGTTTAGTTTACTGTCAAGCATTACCCCTAGGTATTTAGCTTCTGTTTTGAGGTTAATAGTTCTGCTTTCAATGGAGGGTGCTTTTATTTGTAGTTTCCTTCTCCGAGTGAAAGGGACTATTTCGATTTTATGGGGATTGATGCTGAGCCCTTTGCTTCTACACCAAGTACTGGTGAGTAGTAGGGCTTTCTGCATTAACTGAGTTATGATTGAATCATATTTACCTCGAATTGTGATTACCAGGTCATCAGCATACCCTTGTATCTTAAATCCGTTTTTAGTTAGGGTGTTTATCAAGTCATCAACTACCAGGCACCATAATAGAGGTGATAGCACTCCCTCCTTGGGGACATCCTCTTAGCGCCTTTATAGTCAGCGACTCGCCTTCCAGACTGGCTGCGATCTGCCGACTTTTCAACGTGGCTATACACCACTTGACAGCTTTTATGCCTCAGCAAAGGGGATCTAAGAACGCTTTCAGGTTACCTGCCCGGCCATGCGCCCCTAAAATACCACTTCTTCCACATTGGACAAGCTGAGGATCAAACTTGTCGACTATGCAACGACGAGTCAGAAACTGCTGAACATATACTGTTCAACATTTTCGGTAAAATTCCCCTGTTATCTACCGACATAAAGGTTCAAGACCTCAGGACAATACTAAGGTTCAACAAGGACCTACATTTGCCCTAAACCTTTGAAGGGCTAAAGTTACAATAGATCTTATACGTCACGGTAACGAGAGGGGCCGCTCTCCTCAGCCCGGCAGCAATCATAATAATAATAATAAAGTGTATTAAGTTGCCTCACCTACATACTCTACTACCCCTTTTTTTAGAAAATAAATAATGAAATCTTAAGTTTAACTAACATAATTAGGTATATGGATTTGTGTTTTACTGTTATACTGTTTTATAAAGATATCTCAAACTTCATGCTTTGTTGTCTGATGGGTATGGCTACGTCACAGGTAATTTGTGTATATAAGAAATTACTATAAGAGATGAGATTGGAACCCTTGGTCCCAATTCATGATAAGTTCAACGCCGACGCCTACTGCACAATTTTAGATGACAATCTGCTTTTTACGTTATGGCAGTATTACAATGTGGACCAATAATCCGAGGTATATCATTAACTAGTACGGTGATATAGGGGTTACCTGAATGAATCTGCCGAGAGTCCAGATCTGAATTGAATCAAATGTGTCTTCTCCAACCGCACGTGGAAGCTTTACCGAGTATTGAATATAAATAAAGTTTATATCTCTTTTCTATTACATGTGTATAATATTCATTTCAACAAGTGAATTCACTCCTTACTAGCTTATTGATATAATTACTTCTGAATTGTCAAGATAGGAAAAGATAAAGAATCTTGGTATTTTAATTTTTTTAGGAAATAAATAAGAAAGGATTATATGAATTATTTTATTCTAAGTTAAAACTATATTTTCATATCGAGCACAACCCGATACAGTAATCGCAGTCCATTCTGGAAATTCTGCCAAAAATTCTTCATATTCACTCGTTTTCATGAATGAATCATCATGAACGAACTTAGTTGTTATTGCTAAATCAACGGAAGGTATTGAAAAATCAGATTCCGTTTCAACGATGAAATAAAATGAAAAACTCGACTCAGTTTTTCCATAAACAAAAGCCAAATAATAAGTAACTTGGTCATTCCATTCGATGTAATTCGAAGGAATCTCATCCACTAAATTTAATTGTACCAACTTAAAGCCTTTTTTAATCGAAAGATAAACATCTATTTTATCAGAACCTTCTATTTCAACTGAGAATTGCTTTTTCTTTGGCGTTATTTCATTGGACAATATTTTATAATTCAATTTTGAAGTCCATGGAAATGGAGGTTCTTTTGCTGGGATCCAAACACTATTTTCTCTACAAATATTTAGAAATATAAAATAAATATATAAAAAGCTATAGTGAAACTAACATATTTTTGATATTTCTTGAATTTGTTATTGGTAATCCACAGCCAAGCGTAATTTCGCAATCATCTTCAACGGAAGTAGCTTTCTCCATAAACGAAACTACCCCTTCAATACTATGAGGAGTATTTCTATCATTTTTATAGAAATAAAATCCGGTATCTTGTTTTATTATGGAATCTGAAGAATCCTTAATTGTTCTCATTGTGTGCTAAAAAATAAGATAGTCAAATTAACAAAACAATACAGTAAATAAATTTAAAAGGTACTCACATAAATCGAATATCGTTGTAACTTTGGATTTGATTCACTAAATCTATAAGGAAATCCTACGGGAGTGTAAGCTAAAATAATTCCAGCCAAAAAAACGCTGGATAGAACCAAAATAATATACCACGGCTTTTTAATGAATGTGAATAAAGGAATCTACAATTTATTTTTTTATTTAAAATTTTAGAGGCAATAACAAAACTTACGTAATAAGAACCTATTATTATAGTAAAAGAAGCTACAAAAAGACACATGAGTATGTCCGGGTTTAATCCAGATCCAAATCTACCGAAAATTGGCGTGAACAGAGAAATGTCTTGATGGGCATATAAATAAATAATCATACTGGGAATGATTGTGCTTAAGACGTAAATTACAGGCCATAATTTTGGTGTTAATTCTAAAAAGAGAATTTTATACTTAAAAGTATTAGGGAGTCAAGAAAATTACTTACTCGGTTTACAAATATCCACCAAATGTATAATAAGCAAAGCTATTGAATTAAAGAAAACTCCAAACATAAACATTATACCAATTCTTAATTCCATAACGGTAGTTACAATCAGTGGTAAAGTCCATATTAATCGGATAACGTGAGCTTGCATTATAACTTTTCCAGTTAATGTTAACGTTTTCTAAAATTGACGTATTAAGAGAATGTTGTAGAAAAATTACTCAAAAATATTGCTCATTTTCTAGACACGGGAAACAATACCGATATAAATAAAAATTTTTCTCTACAAAATTAAATAATTTATTTGTCAATTAGTTTTACTTATTAAAAAATAATTAGATGTTAATGAAAACTTAATAAATAGATACAATAATAAAAAAAACTGCTGAGACATTTTGAGTTTTTGAGACAAAAACCTGAAATTTTGGCAAAAATTATGATTGGCAGTAGTAGTATTATTTTATTATCTTTTGAAATTCTCTCATCGCAAATAGTAGCGTTCATAGAATTATTTAATCATCATTAATATTCTAATGATCACCCAAAAATCACTCCCTCTATTTGATGTCAGGGAAAATCCTCCCTTAAATCAAGAGTTAGAAGAACGATACATCGCATATGGGTAATGAAATGGATAGGAATCAAAATTATGCTTTCATTCTGCATATGTTGGATAGGCTAATTGACTATACTTCTATACCCTTATCAGCATGCCAATCAAAAAATAACTTCTGCACTCAGCTTATAATCAACTATACCTCTAGACCTATAACAATTCTCTTTAAGAAAAGGCGTTTCACACCAAAATAAAAAGTTGTTTTCCTTTGTGAGCAACACCAACAAACATATAAACCAAAATTTATAGAAAAGAAACCTTTATTATTCTGACACTAAATTATATCTGAGAGTTTTTCAAGTTAATAATAATAATTCTGTTAATAATAAATTCGTTTTCTATCTATATAGACTATCTAGGTAATATAAAATAATTAAATATCATAAAAATTTTGTGAAATGTAATTAGAATTTTTGAGTTACACCTGAGGACTTGGTGATTTAGTTGCGGCAACTTAAAAATCACCAAAATGGAACACTGAGTTATATAAAGCGGCGCGCACTGGCAACCTTTTAATCATGGCAACTAAAAAATTACATCTTGCCCAATTTTTAAGGTGGGCTTTAAAAATTTACAATTTATTTTACTAATTTACTATTTTATTAATTTTTTTTACAACCTATCAACCCTTACCTTTTTATTTATTCTGTATTAAACTGTACATTTTTAAGAATTAAAATTCAAAAATAAATAAAAATTATTTAAATTGTATCAAAAACAAAAATTAAATTGAATTATTGTTCTTTGTCTATTCGTTTAATATTTATCAATTTAACTGATCTATATTCTTTATATACAGTGTGTCCCAGGATAGATGTTACAAGAAGTATAATGACTTAAAAATTTTTGAATTTTATATTAAGGCTGAGGAATTAAGCCCTGCTTGGTGTGCAGAGAATTTTAAGTATATTTTCATATTTTGATATTTAAAGGTTCACGCAAACAAATTAAAGGGTATAACACAAATATTGTAGCGTATGAGCGATGTAAACATGAAGGTTGCAAAAAACTTAGATTTGAGTAAAGTTTTTCCACTAACTCATTAAAACTGGAAGTTAAAACGGAAGGTGATGATCATATTGATGACTACGCCGATGTGTTATTGACATCAATAAACGAAGAGCCCAATGCTTCAAAATATATTCAATTACCTCCATTAATGGTAGAATTTTAATATATTTGTTTTCCAAAGAGACAGTAAATTGTATAGTATCGAAAGGTACTACTAATAAAGTTCTTCCAGGTTTGTAACAGATCAAAAACTTGTGATAACTATCCAAAACTATCAAACAGCATAAACTGTGGATTGTATTATCTATTTTATAAATATTATAGATCGCCGATGCATTGTCAATGACTTATTTACTAATACTGAAGAATTAGATCCCGAACAATATCAACTTTGGGTGCAGACTTATTTATTAGAAAATTCAGACAACATTAAAAAGCACTGCCAGCGATGTGGACTCTATAATGAATCCAGATATACTTATTAGTTGCAATCATTGCAAAAGATGGTTTCATTTTGAAAGGTGGTCCAAAGTTTCTTTACTTCTTTCCATTTTTCGTAATTTTTATCTTTTATCGCTTCCTCAACACTCATCGGTTCTTCTACTTCAGTATAAAAGCTAGTGTCATAATCTTCCATCCATTAGGTTTTCTAACATCTCTCCCCCTTCTAGTTTGTTCCAACCTCTGACCTTCTTCTTCAAATTGTTCCTCCATGCTATCCTCTTCTCTAGTTACATCTTCAACTATTTCGTCTTCAGTCTCGTGATTTAAATTCAAATTTACTACTATTACTTGTTCCTGAGTATTGTTATTTTCCAGTTTATCTTTACTAAGTTCAATTGATATATAAACTACATTCCTGTGGATTTCCACATTCTTTTTACTGGGAAAATATATTCTGTACCCTTTACCGTATCATCACAACCTATAAATATTATTTCCTCATGTTTTTAGTCTAACTTTCTTCTCTTTTGTATTGGGATATGGACAGCAAACCCATACTCTTTTGCATTTTTATATCGTAATTTCTGCCCGTCCATATTTTGTATGGCGTTTCATCTTTACACCACTGGTACTTGTTCCATGCAATGAACGCTGCATTTATTGCGTTAATTTTTTATTATGTAACAATGTCCTTGCTGCCTCCACCAAAGTACGTATCTCGCGCTCAGCCCTTCCATTTTGTTGTGGTGTATATGGACAGGTTTTCTTATGTATTATACCTTATTCTCCAATATATGTTTCAGCTCTGCATTCACAAACTCCAAACCATTGTCTGTTCATAAACACTTAATCTTTTTTCAGTCTGGCTCTCTGTCATCCTTAAAAATGTTTCGATATTTTTTACCAGTTCCGATTTATTTCTTAGAAAATATACCACTCGATACTTCAAGAAACCATCCTTTAATAATAAAAAATACCTTGCACCTCAATTGCTTACCTTTTCATATTGGATTTAATTTCTTTTTAACATCTTTCTTACTTCATCAAAATGAATATAAGCCATTCTTCGATGCTAATTGGTTAAACTTTCCACTTTATAACATTTTTAATGTTTGTTTTCCTTTTTTTTTCAACCTTAAAATTAATTTTATACAATTTACCGGTTCCTATAGTTTCTGCTCTTGTTTGACTCTTTGAATTCACTATTTTACATTTATTTTTAAACGCTTTCAGTTTTAAACCTTTATCCAGAACTGAACTCAGCGAAAACAAATTTACATCCAATTCAGGAACCAACAGTCTGCAATTCAGGAACCAACACTGAATTGTGCAACAGTACATTGCACAATTCAGTCTTGATCCATCTGATGCCATTCTACGCTCGAACTTCAACTTTTCCTATATCTTTTACTTCCAATACTAATCCATTTCCTGGTTTGACCTATCTATACACTTTCAACTGATTTAACTCTTTAAATCTCGTTAAAGTTTAAAGTGCGCGGTGCGCTAATCTCTTGGCAACTTTTTAGTTGAGCGATTTTTAAGTTGCACAACAATAAAGTCACTAGTGCGCTACTAGCCGTACTCACACAATTTACTCACCGTGTTTACGCGATAAAATAAAAGAACAGAAATAAATAACTATAAAATGGTCGTGTCCAAAAAATGTGTAAACTTATACTTTTGAATAAAAGAAGTTAAGACTATAAATAATATAGGTATATAGCTTGTAATAATAACTTACGTGTCTGATAACTTTATTTGATATAATGGTAGTTATTAACATGGAACCAAATGTGGGGGCGACGTATAAAGGAAAAATGATTCCCGGTGAACTGTACCAAGACATAGATCTATTTGTTGCATCCAAAATGACGGCTACGATTAAAACAATCCCAGTAGCCAAGAACCAACCAAGTAAAATTACGAAACCTAGCATCGTGATGTATAGAAGACTCACTTTTAGATTTCCTAAAAATAAAAAACATTTTATTTTAACAGATATTTTAACACATTTATTTGGGGGATCCATTCGAAAATTTTAATCAAATATAAAATTATATTATCTAATAACACCGGCTGTGAAATCGTAAAAAAGTATTACATAATATATGTATGGGCTAAGGGTTATACAGGGTGAGTTATTAGTATCCCGATGGTGAATAACTACAAATTAAAGCTAATTTAATCAGGGTGGACGGTAAAATAAAATTCCGAACAATTTTTTTAAAATTTGCTTATCTTTCGGTTACTAATTTTAACCTTCTTCAGAGCTAATTTCAGTTTGCTACGAGAAATGTTGATATATTTAACAATAGTTTAAATTGTTTAAGAACTTACTTGTTTGTGAAGATAGTATTATGAAAAACCGACAGTGAAATATATTAAAAGTTATTAAATACTTGAATAAAACTTGTAAAATTTCCATTTTTGGTGAGAAACACGTATCTCATAAGATAACAATGACAACGAAAATCATATACTATACAGTATGGTACACATGAAAACATGGGGTTACACTTAGAGACACATCGCAATCCGGCAATGGTATCGCGTTTCCCGCCATTTTTTTGCCACGACTATCGCGCATCCTACTGCAGACCATACAATGCTTGTGGGATTTTCTTTCTTTTTAGTTGCTAGAAAACATTCAGGAAAATACCGTTCGGTAAGTCTCCGAGATAGAAGAACGTTGGAAGGTCGACCCACTTTGTTTAGGGATGCAGAATTGTCATACTATATATCCTATATTCCAGTGGCGTTTCCTTCCTCCTCCTTTTCGGTAAATCAGAAATGAGTCCTATAACGCTAAATCTAAAAGATGGAAGAAAATCTTCTTGTTGTACTTCTTGCCCCATTTTCTTGAAATTGGATGTTTAGCTAAGTGTTGATCTACGCGATGAACACCTCCTATTGTGTCATTGAAATATAGAGCCTTCAGTTGTTGAGTTAACTTAATCTTCCCACGATCTCTCCGTAAAATTTACATAATGTGGTTTGAGAAATTCTCAATTCTTGTGAACGGCATAGAATCGACTGATTTGGCTCATTTTTAACTGAAGCATATGTGGTTATGACATTTTCGGCACTTTGATCGGTGCGTTGTTAGTGAGTACTTCAACTCGAATTTATTTAAAACATTATTTACAGGTGCGTTCCTATTAAAATACAAAATTGTTATGTTTTTATTAGAAAACCCTTTATGTTACATTGAAGACAATACTTCTCCACTATCTCGTGCCATGTAAACTTACTACTTTATTTCTCATCAAATCAATGTTAACCATTTTTAAATATTGTTACCGGTTCTTAATATTAATTTGTTAGGTTTACTCGTTTAATTAAGATGTTGTATAGCAAGCTATTAAACGTAGACACCAACATAAATTTGTAATGTTTGTCGAATTGACTAATGTTGAGTTTACAGCAGAACAATCCATATTTTGGCGGCCTCATCTACACTGTTTGTTTTGTATTTCTTTATCATGTTCGGTAGTGTAATATAAATGTTCATTTTCTCTTTCCGAAAGAACCGTTTTACAGGATTTACTAGTTAGGGTAAACGCATCAGTGTTTGACCTGTTAAAGATTTTTTAATGTCTGTGTTTGACCGAGCCATATTACTTTTGTAGATCTCTGTGCCTTTAAATAAGATGATCAACATATGATCAAATACACATCTGATTCATTTAAAGTTACTCACCCTACATATAAAATATAACATCATGAAGTAATATATTTTTTTTAAATTAAAAAGGTAAACTGTATTTCGCATTTAGCCCAAGTTAATAATGCCAAGCAATTATGTTTTAAATAATAGACGACAAAATATTAAGCTCGTTTTATTAATAAAAAAAAAATGCCAAAATATAATACACAAACCTTATTGTAAGCAAAATGTTTACTTAATATTACAAATTTCATAAATTACCCGTTTGTTAATTGGCTTTGGTTTTTGAATTTTTTTAATAAAACCTTTGGTCAAGTCATACCACGAAACATCATCACGCTTTAACTTTTATTTCTGTTTGATTTTTTTCTAAATCTTCGCCAGGGAACTCAGAACCGTTATATTCCACAATGCAGTACTCTCCTACTTCCCAACACAATTTGACTTCAATTCTCGTTTTGGTATTTTTGTAGTTTTAGGCTTTGAGTTCATTTTTTGCTCTCTTTTGTTTTCTTTCTTCCTTTGCCTTTTCTTGTAGCTCTTTTGCCTCTTCCTTTCTTAAGTGGTAATGTTGCCATTCCAGGGATGATGCAACTGTAGGAATGTTTTCTTTATACTTCCGTTTAACAGATTTATTATTAGCTTTATCAGGCCAAAACAATGCTTTTTTAAAAAGCGTAGTAACGTTTTCGTCTGTTTCACCCATTATTTTTTTTTCCTGCTACATGTTCTTGCCCATGTTCCTTCGAGTTTTGTGGTGTACTTTCTTGCAACGGTTTTAAAGGATCGAATATAACCATTTTTCAAATTTGAAGCATCTATTATTTGGGTTTGGTCAATCGACTATAATAGGATTTTTTCTTGTGACTTCTCGATAAGAACTTGATCTCATGTTCATCCAGAGGTATTATCATATCAGATTTTGCAGAACTTGTGTCTTCTTCTGTGCATCTTTCCCAAACATTTCCACTTATCTGAAAACTCTTCAGCTTCTCTGGTCTCATCTCCTTCTCCATATATTGTATAAGATCAAAGGCTTTGTTTTGTACTGGACTATTTTCGATGGAGAAAATATTAATGTCTTCTTTAAAATATTTTTTAAAATTAATGTGCTTCTCGTCAAAAGTATTTATGCCCTGAAAGTATTTAAAAGGGTTGTTTCTTTATTATTAATACTGTCAAGGACATCTTTTAAATCAGGAGCAAAATGTTCTTTGTTTAACTTTTCACCCAAATTTTGTGTTTTCCATTTGTGGACTGCTTGTTTCCATTTCGATTTTAATGGACAAAAAAAACCAACATCTAACGGCTGTAAAATATGTGTTCCATTTGGGTGCAAGCATACCAAAATAATTTGATTCTTACTACAAAATCGGCTCACGGCTAGTGTAAGATATGACACATGCCCATCTGCAAACAAAATTATAGGCAATTCTATATTTGACTTAACTACCCTTCAAAAAAAAATATATGCAATATACTCAAAAAAAGATGGCCCTGATCTAACCACTATCCATTCTGCCTATTCTCCAATCTTCGGGCACATTATCAACAATTTTTTTTGTCAATCATATATATAGGCATAAACTACCATAGCAGGCGCAATATCTCCTGCAATATTGTATGTAATCAATGCTGTAAGACATTTTTTTTTAATCGTTTCCAACAAAATTATATATATTTCGTTCTTCTTTTTTGCAAGAATTATGTCCTCGTTCGGGTTCAAAAAAAAGCGCTCTCATCACAGTTAAAAACTCTCTTAGGATCATTCAATATATACAATAAATTTTTAGTGACCAAATAAGATTTAACTTCTGCAAGCCAACGCTTTAACGAGGATTCTGTGACACTCTAGTTGACAGCTCTAGATGCAGTAAGATTTTCAGATAATCGAATAGATACTTCAGGATCTCGCGATAAAAATCCCTTAAACCAAGTGTTTCCTAGCCTTTCGCCCTTGAAGTTATAAATATTATCCCGTTTTAATTCTTTTGCCAGAAGTTGAATTTTTATCCTATCCAATTACTAGGTTTGTGTAACAAGAAAACCTCTATCTGCTGAATGGAACAATCATTCAACCAAAAGTTTTTCTTCATCAGAACGACCGATTCTAGGGTTTCTTGTTTTGCGGATCTAGCCTCTTGCTTCGGTCTTGTTTCTGATTTCTGTATTCCCATGCGTTTCGGAAATGGTCTGGATAATATTTTTTCTAATCTGGCGACAACTTTAAAAATTGTAACTGCGGACCTATTAATTTCAGATCACCTAGGGTTACATGCTACTTTTGAAATCCCACATCATGAGTCATTTATACAAACACATACAGTAAAAAAAATTACTAGCGAGGGTTTAAACCACTTTTATTCCATGGTGGAGTCGTTCAGCTTTCATTTTGCAATTGATACCAATATTAACCCTGAAACTGCAGCGAATCTTCTCACTGCCTATCTTGTTCAGACCTCATCTTATGCATTTCCAGAAATAACAATTAAATCTAGTAATAAGAATAAAAATGTATCATTCAGGAACTCTATGCAGCACGAGCTAATTTTCAATTCATCAATGAGGCATATCTGTGTAAGAGAACTCCTCAGATGAAGATAATTAGAGATGCAGAACGCAGGAAATACAGGCGGGCTCTAATTGAGGCTAAAAGGGTCGAGTTTAACCGTTTCGTTATCAATCACATAAATTCTCAATCGGCAATTTGGGATTTCGTGAAACAAAGTAAGCCACGGGAAACAATCTCAAGCACCCTGAATGCTGATCAAATCAATAATTATTTCCTAAATGTATCTGCTGACTTATCCCATTCTTGACATTTTTGATGAACCTACTCTCTACAAATGAGCATTTTGAGTTTGGTGTTTTTTCGGGGATGGAGGTGAGTGATGCTATTACAGGATTAAAAAATAGAAAGTCCTATGACTGCTACTGCTTGAATGTTGCAATGGCGAAACAAGTACGCAATTTATTAATCACTCCACTGACTGCACTGTTGAATCGACGTGTACGAGAAAAAATTTTTCCAGACACGTTTAAAACGGCTTGTATCACGCCAATTTTTAAGAGCACTTGCTCAAAAACCGATTAATAAATTATTTTGGGCTTAATAACTTGTTTTCTAGAAAACACTTTGGCTTTCGACAGGACAGATCTACAGTAGACGCGGTGTTGAAATCGATGGGAGAGGTCGTCGACTGCTTTGAAAGTTCAGAGTTCTGCAGTGTTTCTTGTGTTGACTTGACGAAGGTCTTCGACTGTGTCTGCCATAGGATTGTTTTGTGAAAACTATATATGTACAATCTGTCTCCTAAGGCCTGTAAACTGATATCATCCTATTTGTCAAATAGAAAAAAATATGTTAAATTTAATCAGAAATTCTCTGACCTTGGAGATATTAAGTATGGTGTTCCACAAGGTTCTATTTTGGGCCCTGTACTATTTCTTATATATATCAGCGATTTACCGGATTCAATTGGAGGAGACAAATGTTTGTTATATGCGGATGACACTACGTTTGTAAACAGAAATTCTATTCTGAGTAATGCTGTCATGGAGCGAACCCATATGTTAGAATTGGCTAAAGATTGATTTTGTAGCAATAATCTCAGTTTAAATGAAAACAAGACAGTAAATCTCACCTTCACCCTACGCAAGGGAGGAGGCGATGAGCCTACAACTGATCAACTGATTGTAAGTTCCTTGGACTATACTTGGATCAAGGTCTTACGTGGGCTGTACAGGGTGTCCAAATTTCGATGGGTTTGCAGAGTATCTCAGTTATTATGAAAGATAGAAAGTTGCAGCTTTCGCAAACCTGAGCTACTTTTTGTGAAACTTACAATGGCGCAAACCAAATTTTCATAGCCCTCTTCGTTTTTGATATTCCCTGTATATCAAAAACGTGTTTCAAAATTTACGATTTTCAGACACCTCCTGTATCTCGGTTATCCGGAAACGTAAAAACGGGTTCTAATAGATTTTTTCACGTAGAATCCAATGGTAGTAGAATTTTTCTAGTCATCACGGTTTTTGAGTTATAAAGAGTTAAGTATTTTAGAACTTGAGTATTCAGTATTTGAGTTGTGTTTATAACTCAAAAACCGTGATGACTAGAAAAATTCTACGTGTATCATTGGATTCCACGTGAAAAAATGTATTAGAACCCGTTTTTACTTTTTTACTAAGCTTCCGGATAGCCGAGATATAGAAGGTGCCTGAAAATCGTAAATTTCAAACACCCCCTGTATATCAAAAACGAAGAGGGCTATGAAAATTTGGTTTGCGCCATTGTAAGTTTCACAAAAAAGTAGCACAGATTCGCGAAAGCCGCAACTTTCTATCTTTCATAATAACTGAGATACCCTGCAAACCCATCGAAATTTGGACACCCTGTACACGGGGATAGACTTGCCGGTAAATTAAGCTCCGCTACTTTCTTGTTGAGGCAACTATCTGTCTCTGTTTCCACACACGCGTGTACAACCGTATACTTCTCGTATATACAGTAGCATATCACATATGGACTGATAGCCTGGGGTCATTCGAGCATTATTAAACGGATTTTTAGCATTCAAAGAAGGGCTATTAGAACACTTGGGGAACTAAACTACCGCGAAAACTGTAAGGAAGCTTTTATAGAGCTCAAATGCTTGACACTCCCTTGTCTGTATATCTTGGAATGTTTGAAGCACTTTATCAACAATTAAGTTGAATATGTAAAAAACAACCAAGTTCATGCGTGCCAAACACGGCAGTGTGGACACATCCGATCAAATAAGATCCGACTGGATCGATCCAAAAATGGTGTGAATTACTATTGTACTACTATCACGATTATCATTGATGTTACGAGCTGTATTTCTTTTTGGACGAATGTAAACCAATCGGTGACACACAATAAATATTAAATAAATAAATATTATTTTTTTATTAGCATCTTGGCTGCTTGTTCATAAGATAAACCTCTACTTCTTGCATCGAGAGCCTTTTGAAGATCTTCTTCACCAAAATGACAACGAAGTTACTCGTTGTCATATTGGTACTAAAAAAAGTTAAGCTGATTCATATTTGCTAAATTTTCCATTTTTTGATAATTGACCACTATAAGAGTCAGTGTTTGACCAACATTTTATCCTTTTAATTTTATAGACTGATTAGTGCTTAAGTGCATTCAATTAGTTTTATTATTGCATTCTTTTTTATAAATGAAAACAAAGAATTTTCATCACTCATTTATTTCATTACGTGTATGCAGAACTTCATCCTCTTCTCCCAAATTCTTATCAGTAACATTCCAATTAGCATTTTCAGGTAGGAATATTGTATAATCAAAATTTTCTAATTCTTCTTGGTATCTCGGGAAGTTCTAAAGAACCTTTCCATTAATTAAAAAAATATTACATACTACATAGTAACCTACATATATAACCTTAATGTTTATACATGCTGATTAAATAAGTTCGCATATTTTTTTTATAAAAATTACATAAAAAACTACTTATACTTACCACCAATTAGACATGATGAAGCACAAAAAAGAAAGGTAAAGGTCTAATTATTACTTTCACACACTATTCACTAGAACTGTAGTTCCGGTTGAACTCCACGTGTAAACATGATTTTTTGCACGTGGATTTTGCACACCGAAAACTACAGGCAAAAAGCTTTTAAGGGTTTTAAAAAGTCACTGGTAACATCTGGATTAATAAGTATTGAAATTCAACACTCACCTAATTGTACGTTCACACAAGCCCATATAAGTAAAGTTATTGATAATAACGCCAAAAGACTATTGAAAATCACATTTGCTTCCATGCTATAATTAAGAAAAAAAAGGCCAAAAACATCATAGAAAACCGTTTTTCCACCTTCCGTTTTTGGATCTGTCAACTCATCTGCTTCCGCCAAGTTTTTCACCAAATGCAAAATATTATCACCGGTGTGTTGAAAAGTTCTAAAATCTATATTTTCTTCCAAATCATACTTTGTGTGATATCTGTATCCATCTTTATAATAAGCAAAGTCATATCCTAACAATAAATAAATTAATAAAACACTAATAAAAATTAACAATAAAATTTAAAATACTAACCAACAATATCACCATAATCTCTAAAAATTCTAAAATCCGTATCCGAAGGAATAATATTACTTTGAAAAACTTCTTCCGCTCCAGCATTTGCGTGCGGGTGTGGAACATCATAGTACTTTAACAGCCAAGGCTCGTTTGGTCCTGTTTGAAATAATATTTCTTTGCCACCTGCTCCCGTTGCTTCTAAATTAATAAAAACACTAATTTCTTTAGCCAGATAATGTTGAGTTATAAAAGCATGAGAACCGCAGAGAGCGGCTTCTTCTGCACCGTTAAATAAAAATACAATGTTATGTGTCGGTTTATCTTCCAATTTCGATAATTTATTAATTATTTCTAAAGCTATAGCAACATTTATACCATCATCACTCCCACCCGGGCTGTTTGGAACTGTATCAAAATGAGTATTAATTAGAACACTATGAGCAGAATCATTTTTTGAATGAATTTTTACGACCACATTTTGTATGTTTTTATAAACGTTTATGGCACCGTTTGGTTTAAAATCTAAGAAAAATGATCCGGAATATTCATCAGCATCATATGTAATTTTTTGATTTATGTGTTTATTGTCGATTATATTATTAATCGTTTTTATTAAATATTCCACCGCTAATATTTCATTATTTTCATGACCAGTAACTCTTGGGCCAATTTTAATTAAATCTTTTAAATAATTTCTAGCTCTTTCTGCAATAAATGCTTCTGGGTTATCAACCTACATTAAAAATAACTCAAATTATTAAGATATCATTAATATTTACATCATAATTAATATGTCTAAATACCTCATCAGATAATTCTAAAGGTGTTGGTAAAGTGTGATCTATAGCATAGATAATTCCGTATAATCCACCAACGACAGCGATTAAAATTAAACCAAAAAAATAAGAAATTCTTCCGGTGGATTCTTTATGTCTTTGCGCACACATTTTTCTCGTTTTGAAATCAGCTGTGAACTACAATAATGTATTAAAACGAACATATAATCACAAAATCAATGTAGATTCAAGTTCAATAATTATTATCTGATAAGTAGATACCATTAACAATAAATTCATTTTGTACAACTCTCCTGCAAGATCCGTTGGTGAGATTACGATTTTTATTAAACACCTGCCAAGATAATCGATTCAAATAAACGAATTCTATCTTGAATGACGACAGTATGATAAACAGGAAAGATTAAAAATAGCTAGTTGATGTCCATATCTTTTATAATACATATATTTTTTTGATAATTCCCCCTGGTCATTTGTTTTAGTTCGTCTATCCATTGAGAGAGTAAACTCGTTATAATTGTAGCTGTTATAGTATAAATCAGTAGAAACTTATTTTGTTAATTGCTTTACATATATTTACTAATGTTATTGTCCAACCGTTAAATTTACTTTTACGTTTAAAATAACTAATAGTGTATATTGAATTTAAAATAGATGAGTGCATACTTGCAAGCAGTACTTAAACTCAAGTACCTTTTCATATGCGCGTTATCATTAAAAAAAAAAATAATAATTTCAATTTGTATTGAACTAAATGTTAAGCAAAACGTAAAGTCGATCAAATAATAAAAATTAAATAATAGCGTTTTAGAATTTTAACAAATCAAGAATAAATTTGTAACAAAACAATTTCTATATATTTCTAAAAACAATACAAAAAACTAAGAAAAGACTACATTAAGGAAATTTAAATATTTTCATTTATTCAGTCACTAGAAATACTAAGATTATTTGCAGAAACGTGTAAATATAATAATTTCTGTGAGTTTTGGGTGTGGCGAGGAATATTCTGGAGGGTTAGGTGGTGGGGAGTAAAAGTTGGAAGACAACATGTACAGCAAGGTACATAAATATAAGGTATGCTTATGACCGGCGAGACCATAGCAACCATAGCAACAAACCGCTCAGCAACAAACTTTTTCCTTTATATTTCCACCTACTTCTAGGATACTTTTAAGATAGCGAAAAACAAAGCACACGGTTGGATAGCTTGGTCTTTTCTCTATCATAAATCGTGTTTTCGTCCGCCGATATGTTGATAATAAGAGCAAGAAAAAATAAGAAACGACACACTACATTTAAATCACCTCAAAATTGCCCCACTTTAAGGCTTTGTGCAGCCGTTATCAGAAGGAAATTCAACAAATGGTTTACTATTACATATTCGAAAAGAGCTAACCTTGGCCTGTCTTATTTCGAGTTTTCGTCCGGCAATATCTGCCGGCGTCTGTAAAAGAAACACACCTGAAAGACAACCTACAGGTAGCAGAACGCAATCACTTCTTATCCTAACTTTCTTATTTGATGAAGGAAAAATTGGGACAAAGTTTTACCCGAGAGAGAATCCTAACTTCATTTCATGTTGACAGATAATTTTTCATTCACTCTTAATTTATTTAAAACCGTTTAAAAACATATACATAAGTACGAAGACTTTCAGGCCGGTGTTAATAAAATGTTTGACGTGTCGGATGCCATGTTGCAACCTTCTTCACAAAACAAGTTCGAACCGAAAGTTTCTAGTTCTAGGTCTAGTGTTAGTTCTAGCTTTAGTTTTACGTTTAGAAACATGTTAAACTGTTCAAAACGGAAAGATTATTTCATGTTACACCTATTTTATCAGAATCTGAAATTGTGTTTTGATGGTTTTGAATCTGGTAACGTTACCAACCTTTGCATTTTAAGTTATTTAGTTAGTTCATATAAGAGAGTTATTGAGCCAAGCGTGGTTTAGCCGCTGCAAAAATTCGTGGTTTAGGTAGTTCATAGTCAGAAAAAAGGATTGTGCACGTGTGATCACGGTGTGTCACACATCGTTGGAGCAGGAAATTTCCCATAAGCTGAATATAGTTGTAGAGTTTTCTCCCTGTCAAATAGGAAAGTTATTAGTGTAAGAAATATTTGCGTGTTTTCATCGGTAGGGGCTTTTTCAGGTGCGTTTTCTTACAGACGCTGATAGATATTGGCGGACGAAAACTCGAAATAAGATAGGCCAAGGTCAGCACTTTCCGAATATGTAAACCATTTATTGAATTTCCATCTGGTAACGGCTGCACAAGGCCGTGAAGTTTGGTAATCCTGAGGTAAATTGAATGCAGCGCGACGTTTCTTATCTTTTCTTGCTCTTATTATCAACATATCGGCAGACGAAAACTCGGTTTAGGATAGAGAAACGACCAAGCTTTCCAACCATGTGCTTAGTTTTTCGCTAGCGTTATAAATAACAAAGATATCCGTCCGAAAAATACATAGATGGAAATACAAAAGTAAAGTTTGTTGCTAACTGTAGGCTCCTTTTCAGGAGCGTTTTTCTTACAGACGCCGACAGATATTGACGGACGAAAACTCGGAATAAGATAGTCCAAGGTCAGCTCTTTCCGAATATGTAAACCATTTATTGAATTTCCATCTGGTAACGGCTGCACAAGGCCGTGAAGTTTGGTAATTCTGAGGTAAATTGAATGCAGCGCGACGTTTCTTATCTTTTCTTGCTCTTATTATCAACATATCGGCGGACGAACTCGGTTTAAGATAGAGAAAAGGCTAAGCTTTCCAACCGTGTGCTTAGTTTTTCGCTATCTTTCTAGATAACAAAGATATGGGCCGTAGAAGTAGGTGGAAATATAAAGGAAAAAGTTTGTTGCTGAGCGGTTTGTTGCTATCGTCTCGCCGCCGCCGGTTGCTTATGCCCATAAAGTGATGACGCGCTGGAGCCACTTAGTGGCGCGATTTCTAAAACGTTTATGAGAAGTAAGCAACCCAATATACTTTTAAAAACTCTTTTAAAAATAAATGGTTCCTTTGATAACGATTTGCCATGGTATTTGTTAAATGTTTGCCAAATCTCTTTAACCAAAATGAACAAATCTTCTTTTGGGTATAATAAGTGTCCTTTTGATAAAGTATTTATCCATGAAAATTCGTTCTTGTTAATATTTATCTCTTGGTCGAGGTATAATTTATATTTGCCTTTATATTTGAAGGCTGCAATATATTTTAATCCTTCACTACACAACTCATCTTCTACCTCAAAAACTTCATTTTCCTCCTGAAATTCTTCAATATTTTGTAATAGTTGCAGGTAATCCTCTTGATTTTCGAAATCCACGAATGATGTTATACTAGCCACAATATCCTCCTCTGCTTCGTCAACTTGGGTTTGATTCTGTTTTGCATCATTAAAATTGCCCATGAAATCAGTTAAACATCCTTGAGAGTTCTCTACACTAATCAATTGCACATTTTGATAAACTGTGAATGCAGCTGACGAATCCCTTCCCATTATATACCATCTTATTCGATGTTGATACTCTAGAGCTGTTGGATTATCATTTGTAGCACCAGCTCCTCGGATGTACGAGACAAAGTTTTCCAGCACATCTTGATTTAAATGATAAGTTAAAATGTATTCTATACCGTATTTATTTCTTAAATAGTGGTATAATTTTGGCAAGCACTTGTTATTTAATAGAATTGCCTTTTGAAATGGCAAAAGCGAAGTACGTTTTCCAACTCTCATGTGTAATATCTCTTCATTAACAGCCTTCAGCAACATCATTTGATTCTCCAGATCTATTCCAAATGCGTTGGACTGTTTTGAGAATTACATGTTTGAGTTGAAAACATCAAACCAATTATTAAGGAGTTCTACAATTTTATGTGTGTACTGCCAGTTGAAATTTGACAAAAGGTCTTTTTCACCGCACCATTTAATTGCGTGAGCAACTGTGTGAGAGATAACCTGTGCAGCTAATTTAACATTTTATCGTTGCTGACCTGTTACATCCATATGAAATTGACTAATTTTGGGTGTTAATTTTATTTCTCCTTTTTGAAGAGCTAGTAAAGCTTGAAAACATGCTTTCAAAGCAACTTGTTCACCACTCCTAAAGCCACTATCAAACAAATTGTTTCTAATTAATTTAATTATGTGTGGTGCATCAGAAAAAAAATACTTCCAAACTGTCGTCACTTTAAATCTCTTCTAAGTGATAAATTAGAAGGACCTAGGTCGCTAACCACAGCCGCAGCAGGATATCCTTTGTCATGGCCGTGTCAAAGTCGCAGTAAACTACTTGCTTCCATCTACTAAAAAGTCCCTTCACCATTACTGTTTGGGCAGCTCTGTGCGGTCCAACAACCTTTTGACGTCGTTTTTCAACCATTATGCGATTTGATATATGGACTTCATGAAATGAAAGGATACAAATTCTCTCCTTTTCTCCTATGTCAAGGGATTTATATTTTATAACAGTGAGCATATCTTTTAGTATGCCAGGTTGAAAAATTAGCATTGAAACCCAACGTCGCAAAGTTGATAAAGCTGTTAAAGGATATCCTTTTATGGTCCTCAAATATCGATATGCCTTTGGACTTATACATGGCAAAGATATTGCAGACGATATATCATCTGACGACCATTTAGTAGATGGTTTGCCTCTCTTTAAACATCTTATTTGTCCAGGCGTAAAGCATTTTTGTAGTATCTTGTTTAAATGTTCTATTTCCATATTTTGGGATTTGATTTTTTTGTTTAGGATAGAAATTTCTAATTTCAATTTTACAATGTCATCATCTCCTGTTGGTGTTGAACAAAGAAATTGTATAACTATAGAAGCAGCATTGCCTATCTCCGCCCGTATACGAGATTGAAGCCAACGTTCAAGTGTTTGTTTTGGTGTTAGTCCCACTGACAGTGGCGTGTATAGTTTCGGTAAAATCACACATACACAATGGCGTACATGAAGAAATGTATATTATCATTATTTTTTTTATTGAGTATGGTTGAAATGTTTATTAAGGAATGTAAACTTTAATTTCTTTTGTAATTAATTAATTTATAATTGTAACCGTATAAATTGTGAACGGTTTATTTCTTACAAGTAAATTAAAGATGATATAATTCGAATTTTACAATACTTTCATGGTAA